AAAGTAGAGCCTATGAGGTAGATACATATATATGCATTAACAAACCTATATATATATATATATATATATATATATATATATATATATATATATATATATATATATATATATATATATATATATATATATATATATATATATATATAACTAACATATATATATAAACATATACGCATACATTACATAGACATAAACATTGGTATAATATATACTTGTTATATTAAAATTATACAAATATATTTTACAAACAGATAGTAATTTACATTTTTGTTTTCTTTAAAAAAAAAACAAATAAAATATAGGAAATCAGTCTTTTAAATGTCAACTTGAAACTATTTTTTTTTTTTTTTGCTTTACCTTATCTAATTTCATTGCTGAAAATGCCACTGTAAAGTAATGTAAATAAAAACACTCACAATCTTTTTAAATTATTATTATTATTTTTTTAATTTAAATTTATTTTAACTTCCTAAATAGGAAATTATTTTGTTAATATTTTGTTTACAAAATATTACCAAAATATTTTGTTAGTTTTGCTTTCTTTGTTTTCGAAACTTGATTTTTTCTGCAAAGTATAGAAATGCCTATTATAATAAAACTAGCAAACAACTGTGACCAAGTACTAATAAAAAAACTTTTTGGGGAGCAAACAAGACAAAAAACAAAAACAAGTCTCCTGTGAAGGCTTGCACTTTATATATGAACTTAGTTTGTAACCGCTTGCACTTTACATACGAACTTTACATAGTGGAACCCATTAAGCAGTAATTAATTGTTGTAAAAAACATTTTCACCGCAATTGTGAATTTTTTAAATTTATTTATTAAAAAAAAAACAGATCTATCTGTTAACTATTGTTAAATAAATTTTTTTTCTACTTTCCGTTTTTAAAAATATTTTAATTTTAATATATATTAAGTTTATATTAATTTTAATTTTAATTTATATTAAATTTAAATTAAAGTTATATTAAATTTAAATTATAAAAAATTTAAATTTAAGTTATTATTAATTATTATTATATAATTTTATTAAATTAAATTTAATTTTTTTTAAAAATTTATAACAATCTGTTTTATAATTTCTCTTTTACTTTTAAAATTTCCAAACTATGTTAAAGAAAAGAAAATTCTTTTTTTTATCCATTTATTCAACCAAAAATTGAAAAATTAAAAGTTTTTTTATAAGTTTACAAAGTTAGGTTAGGTGTCACTCATATAGTTAAAAAACTAGTCATTGGACTGACACCAAAATAAAATAAACAAACAAAAAAAATCAACAGTATTGGTAATAAATAAAAGCATGTGTAAATTGAATAAATTTAAAATAATTATAACGATAAAGCTATAATAAATTAAATAATAAGACAAAAAATATAAAAATACTCAATTAATAACAACAGCAAACAAAAATAAAAATAATTACCAAAACATAAATAAAACAAACTTTACACAAATGAAAAGGCAAACACAAAAACTACAAAATGAAAGCAAAAACTACAAAACAAAAATGCAAACACAAAAACTTCTACAAAATAAAATGCTATCTATGCTAACTAAATTGTGAGAAAGCAAACATAAGACGATAATGTGTTTCAAATGTTTCAAAAAATAAATAGTATAAATTTAAATAAGTGTAAGTTTATAAAATAAGTTGATAATTTTTTTCAATTTTCAAAATATTTCATTGATAACTTTTTTTATAACAATATTGTTTAATTTAAAGATATTTTATAAATATTTTATCAAGAAAAAGACTATAAATAATTTTTAATGTGGTTTCAAACTAAATTTAATTACTATGCAGAACTTTAAAACAGCAACTGATGTAATTTAACTTTTAACATTATAAACATTTACATCAAGTAAAGTTACATTTACTTAAGTTACACTTTGCAATTATGCAATAAAATCTCTTTCATATTGCTAAAAATTAAACTAGGTCAGTTGTGTATTTTACCACATAATAATTAAATACTGCATAGCAATTAAATACTGCATAGTAATTAAATTAAATTTAAAACCCTGTAAAAAATGTTTATGGGTGAATTTCTTAGTGGTCAAAAAATAATTTAAACTATCAACAATTTTTTTTAAATACTTTGGCTTTATCAAAATCTTCATCTACTACTCATAAACTAGTTGATAATATAATTAATGTAACCTTAGCATAACTTTCATGCTTACATCGTTAATTGTATTATAAGCATATTTTAAAGTACCAGGTTGTAACTAAATTTAATTTTAAATCATGCTAAAAATCATTTAACCTAATATTACAAAAATAACTGATGAAATCTAAATTTAAAACAAAATTTGAATTTTTTAATTTTTAAAATCATATCAAATTTAATGTCTTTTAACAAAAAAATTTATATATAAAATAATCAGTTTCCTTAATTAAAAAAATCACAGTTCGGCATTTCCAAAAAATCACACATGGAAACTTGTATATATTTTATTATTTTGATAATAATAAAACTAGCAATCTCTAATTTACTTTCATTTAATTTTAATTATCATATAAATATTTTATAAACAAAGAATGGTATACATAAGTAATGTTATCAAAGAATAATTCAAGTTTAAAGTGGAATCACAAACAGAACAGAAAAAAGCAAATTATAGTTACTAGATAAACTTTCATTCCTCGAAAAATATAAGTTTCAGCAGTATACTTTTTTTTTAAATAATACTTTAGATATTAGTAAAGATTTCCAAAGTTACAGGATTGTACTATTATCTTAGAGCCACAACAAACATTTAAATGCAGTTCATGTATGGTCATGCACAGAAGTTGCACACTTGTTGATTTCATGTAGCTATTTTTAAGAAAATAAAATTCTTGTGAGTATTTCAAGTGAAATGTTATCTCTACAACTCATATTTAACATATTATTGATTAGAAATAACAGTAATCAAATATTTCTAGCTGGAATTTGTATTTACGAAACTAAAGTTATTTATATTTATAGACTATATTTTATATATTTTAAAAGCTATTGCAACAGTAACACAAAAAAGTATAAAACTATAAAAATATACATACTTAAACATTTAGGTAGCTTAAAGTATAAAAAAAATACTTTTGTTATAGTTGTTCTTTAAAAAAATCTTAATAGTATTAATATTGCTATAAGCCACAACTTCTAATTATAAAAACATAGGAAAATAAAAAATCACTCACAGAAATAGAAATACCCAGTTGTGGTTCAATTAATATTTTCTGAATGAAAGTCACGTTAAAGATTTTAAATATTCCAAAATAAAAAGGTTTTGCTTAATGTCAATCTACTGAATGTGTATGCAAATCACCATTTCGTTTGTAAAATCCAAGCTGCGTAACACTTCTTAATAAGGCCTGATATATGTTACATAAAAATAAATATATAAAGGGTATGATACAAATTTCACAGAAAACCCATAATGCTGGATATTGACTTCAAAACTGGAAGCCACAATAGTAAACTAAGAAGAAAATTTACAGGAAATACATAACAACATTTATACTTCCTGTAATTTTCCTGTAAAATTTTTTTAACAAATAGAGTGATAAACAACTGGAACAATCTTAAATGTAAGAGTCAATATCAAAAACATTTGAAAACAAATTGGATGAGCTTTTTAAATACTAACTTTTATTATGTTAGTATGCTTCTGTGTTATAGTTGTTTGAGTTACAAACTCTATGTAGTTTGGACTCATAAATCTTTAAGTGTACAGCACTGTTACATTTTATTATTCTGACATCTTATAAAAACCCTAAATACATTTCAAAGTAAGCATATTATAAGATTGCCTCTCTTTATTATGTTTATCATATTCTTATTCCATTCTCTACCTTTACAAATCTCATATAAATCCTTGAATAGAATAATTAATAATAAGAGAATAATGTTGTTATATTTGGGCTGGTTATTCTAATGATATCTTATCTCTTTCATTAGAACCCTATTTTAGACATGGTTCAAAGAGCATTGTACCCATCATTACGAGAATGAGTTTTTTTTTCTTTTGTTTATAAATATTGCCATGGTTGCTACTCTAAAACGCAATCTTGTGTGATTCATTGTTTAACAAAGTCAAAAGCAAGTTATAATGTAATTCTATTCAACATTAATTCTCTCCAGTAATCATAATTTCCGAGCTTATAAAATAAAATAGTCTTTAAAGTCTTCAGTCAATAGTTTTCATGCTTATAATGTTCTTTTTTACCTTATAGTAACTCCCAACTTAGGTAGTGAGTGCTTGCAGCTTTTTTGGAAATAATACTACTTTTAAAATAAACTGTAAAAAAATAATTTATTTTTTCATGAAACTACTCCCTCCTAAAATAAATATTTAAAAAAATTATGTACATATTTTATACAAAAAATAATGATATTTTGGATATTAAAACAAACGTTTATAACAATTAAAATGCAAGAGAATACCATTGTTTTATTTGAGACCAAGATATACTGGTTTTTGTAAAGATTTTTAGCAGACAAATTGTACAAAAATGCAGTGACATATTTTCAGTATGGCTAATAAAACTACCCCGATAAGAAGTTGGCCCATATCTTGTAATACAGTTTTTCATAGTAATGTTAAACACTTAATTAACGCTTAAAAAATAATGCCTACGATTGTGTTTCACTGGTAATATGTATTTTGTTGTTTGCTGGATTTAATGATATTAATTCAGGACATTTTAGATACCCTTCAATAATTAAATTTTCAAAACCATGTCTAAAAACACGCTTCTACTAACAATTTTTGGGGTACTAAAGAGAATATTGATTTTATAGAAGCACTTTAACATAAAAACTTTTTTAAAGAATAAAAACCTATAACAAACTACAAGCAAAACTTACCCCAAACCCCTTTCACAAAATTAAGTATAGCAGCTCTTGGATTAGGTAAACTTGGTATTTGCGGACAAGATTGCCTCCACATAGGTGGCATTTATTTTTCTAGTCTAAGTTAAGTTATTATTTCATCCTAAAAAAACTATATAATATATTATATACAATTATATAGAATATTTTCATAACAGAATATATTTTCATATAACAGAATATATTTTTATATTACTTCTTATCCATTATCTACCATCATTTTATATGATAAATAGGTATATTAATAATATTTTTTACAATATTACTTTTCAAAAATTTAAAAATTTTTTAAATAATTATTAATAATGCAATACAATAATTAAAAATAATTAAAGAAACTACTTTTTAAAAATTTTCTAATAATTTACAATCTGCCGTAACAAGTGAATTAAACGATGTTTACACTTGAAAAAATAAACTTAAAACAAAAACTTATTCAAACGAGGTTCTGGGAGAATGACATAACTTAAACTATCCAGCGCATCATAAGGCGATTTGCGTCTTTAATTAGCAAAAATTACAGAAACATTCAGTAATCTTTTATCCAACATTTACGCCAAACAAATATACAAAAATAAAAAGACTTACAAAAAAATTAATTTTAAGCTCTGATTTTGTTAGAAAATTTTGAAAATTATATTATCCAGTCCAGTAAATAACATAAAATTACGTTTTAATGATGCTTTACAATGCGGAAAATAATATAAAGGCGGTAAAATAACTTTTTCGTCGTTTTTTATTTCATTACTTTCTAAAGACAAAGGTATTATTTTAAACAAAATATTTTAAAAAATCTTGTTAACCCACTTTTAAATTCAAAAATTAACTGTGCACCGCCGTTCTAAAGAATTGATAATATTTGACCATTAAAAGTTGACCATTTGAGGTTGCTTCGATACTAAAAAATGAAATAATTTTTAGCGATCGCATTTTTCTGCTATAAGTTATGTATTAAAAATGATAAATTAATACATTTATGGGCAGAAAAGGCCTTAAATATATTACTTTTTATTCACAATTTTTAGTAAGAACAAATTTAGTAGGAACGAACTCTTTTAGAGTTATTTTATCAACAAGAATCGCGGTACCTTTTTTTATGTATCCTGACTTTTTTATCTTTGAAACCAAATTTGAAATTTGCTACCTATCAGAGAGTTACCTTAAACACCTAGCGTGACCTCAGCATCAGTAAAAAAAGCTGAAAAAACTGTTCAACAAACAAAATGCAATCAGAAAAATGTATACTATCTTCACACTCTCAACTATTGTTTAAAAATCCAAATCTTCTTCAAATATGGAATAAAATAATAATATTAAAACGCAAGCAACTTAAAATAATTTCAAATCGAAAATAAAAGAAATAAATTTAAATAATAAAAATTAACTTTCTCAAGAGCTATATTTATTTAGTGGCCATCAAAATATAATATGACGCATTTTTTTTATATTCAAAGAACTTAACTCTTTGAAAAACCATAACTTTTCAATTTGATTTCAATATATATTAAAGATAAACTTTTTATTTTAAAAATATTTAATAAAATATGTAATAAAAATATGTAATAAAAAAAATGTAGTAATTTCTTAATACTATATTATTCATAATGATTCTAAATTATATTATACTTTTGAAATTGTTATTATTATGTTTTTATCGCATTTCTTTTTTGATTTTGTTTTTTTATTGTTCAAAATATATTTGAAAATCTATATTTATGATTTAATTTTTTTTCAATTTTCATGTATGAAGTATAATTACACACTGTAGGCCAAAAGATTAGGACCGGTCCGGTATTTAATCAAAACCGGTAAGAAAATAAAAATAGAAAACTATGAATAACTTACACATTTTGTATTAATATCAATTTTTTTACATAAATAAAAGTCATTAATTTATTTAAAATAACCTTTAAATATACATAAAAACGTTAAACTTTTTGTTGATGAAAGCTTTGGAAAAAGTCGAGTAGCCCCGGACGGCGGGTAACTCCGGACACTTGATGTACAGCTTAAACTAAAGAAGCTATGTGACTTTTAATATTAGAATAACATTATTTAAGTGAAAATATTGCGTATGCAAAATATCTATCATAGAATGCTGAAGCGAATGACTGGGAGGGCAAGATTTTGTTTCCTACCACCAGAAGAGTGGCGTATCATCATATTTGATTCACATATTGATAAACCTTATTTTTATGTAAACTAATAACTTTTTAATTAATAAAGATTTATTTTTATTTACAATAGTTATTAAAAAAAAATTTGTTAAAAAGTTTAATTCACTGATTTTAAAACTAATGAGGTTTTATCGGGTGGTATCGGACACATGTTTGGAGGGTGGCTCCGGACAACTTAATTTGTTTACATATTAATAATAAAAAACTTTTTTTATATAAGTATTAATACATTTAATATAGTACATAAACCTATAACAAAAGTACATTTAATTCCAATAAAAAAACATTAGCTTTGAAAAAAGTGTTTTTAAAGTGTTTATTTTCATTATAAAAATGCATATGTTTATATTTTTAAATGATGATATTTTCATTCTCATTCCTTATATATCAGAGGCAATTTTTAAAGGCGATTTTTTTAAAAATGTGTCGAGAACAGTCCAATGCTAAATTATTATATATTACATTTGTGTTACGCTGGTAAAAAAAAAGGTAAAATCATGGTTAAATTGTGTGTCCTCCAATTTTGAAACATACCTTTTTTCTAACATTTTTTCTTTTATGTTTTGTATATTATTAAGATACACAACAATAATTTTTTTGTTTCTAATTCGATAGATGAATGTTTAAATTCGATAGATGAATGTTTAAATTCGATAGATGAATGTTTAAAAAAAGTCTTTTGACACTTTTTTTTCTGTTAGTACATGAGAACAATCTATATTTTCCTTATAGTCTATACTCTCCCCTATTAACATTCTAAAACTTTTTAAACTCGATTTGGCACTCGGGCAATAAATATTTGTATTTTATATTTTTATATTTATTTATTTTTTTGTTGCATGCTATTCCACAGCTTTCTATATCTGTCCAAAATTGTTCTTCGGACGTTGGACAGATTTCCCAGTATAGAAAATGTTCTATACGCACACAATTTCCAACTCCAAGACTCAAGATAATTCTCTACACCATAACAGACCCACCTCAATATTTTACTATGAATACTATACACTGAGGCAGCATCTTTTCTCCTTGGTTTCGACAGAAGAATGTTTTGCGCCTGGAACCTAATACTTAAAGCTTCGCTTCATTTGTCCACAGCACTTTTTTCCCACTGAAAAGCCTATTTAAATAGTTTTTCTTATTTTATTAAGTGGTTATCAAACAGCGAGACGACCGAACAGATTGAGTTTACGTAAATGGCGCTTCGCGGTAGTTAATGAGACCTTCTTCAAACCAGTTCTGTTCAATGCTGCTCGAATTTCAGGGATAGTCAGACATCTATTTTTTTTATTTGCAACAAAAACATAGTCATTCTGCACTTTTTTCCAGGACTTTATTGCTGCCTGTTTCCTTAAATCTTGCAATGATGTGCTCAGAGGTTTTAGAAGTTTCAACTGGGCAGTAATAATACGTTAAAAATTACTTTGATTGTGAAGGTATATGAATTTCAAGTTTAAGCTAAAAACCTTTACCCATTTAGATAGTTTCGGTGCCCTAAAAATTGAAAATAATGAAATCTGAAAAAATAAAAAAATAAATTTAAAAATATCTACCGTTTCAAACTTATTATAAGTTACTAATAAAGACTATATTAACAGTTAACAATATAAATATTAAGAAAATTCCCCAGTGGGCATGCAACATTCTAAGGGCATCTGGACGTCCTTAGAACAACGCATTCTCACTGCGTCAGCCTTAATTTAACTATCCCAAGAAGCTGTAACGTAAGTTCACTAACGTCAACAAAACAAGCAAACATAATATAAAATCGGATAAATTTGTAAAAATAAATAAGGACCATCTAAAATGGTCTGTGTAGACTACAGTTATGTTCTTTGTAATAGAAAAATTTAAAAACTTGTCAGTTTTTATTTCCGTTACGTATATTTAAATATTAAGACAACTGATCCTAAACTTATGGCCTGCCGTGTATATATATATTTTTACATTATAAAATAGACGTGAATATATATTATTTACTAATTAAGAAATGCTTAGCTATAAAACATCAAGTTTTCATTTTGCCACGGCCTTTTGTTTATTTTATGTAATGTTTGGAGAACGGCAAAATTACAGAAAAAAAAAAATTATTGCAATTCTTGCATATATATGAGACTTAATTTTTTTAAATGTTTAAGATTTTTATTATGCAGCTTCAATAAACTAAACTTTTAAATTATTTAAAAATAAAATTTAGAGCCAATGATTTAAACAAATAAAATAAAAAATAAAAACATTAATTATACAATTTAAATTAAATTAAGAAATTTTTCTATTGTTTATTTTCTTTTAATTCATTAATTTTAGAAAAAATTATCTGTTATAGAAGTGATTATAAAAAACCGAAATAGCTGAGAAATATTTGATAATTGAAAAACTATAAGAAATTCTAAACTTTTCTGAAAAACAAAATAAGGCCGTCACCGAAAACTTCAAACATTTAAATTAAACATTACTGTCTGATTCTCTTTCACAATAACATTTTATTAAATCATAACCTTAAAATGCTTTATGGTAGTTTTGAGAACAATTTTATTAAAGACCGCTTCACACTCTTTGTTTATTATTAATTTATTATATCTTTTTTTATTGTGTAATATAAAACTTTAAATTATAAAAGATACAAATTATAAAAAGTAATTCAATTTACAATGACGTTCATTCTTACTTTTCTTTGACTAATTTCTACCTTTTTATTTCACTTTTTTTACGTCGGCGTTATTTTATTCTATATAGTCGTTATTCTATTAAGGCGTCATTCATTATCTTGGCGTCTAATTTTTCATAATTTTTAAATTATTCAATTTTGATGCTTAAAAAAAAACCCGTCTTTAAAAATATTTTTCATTTAAACACCACTGTTTCAATGCATTTTTCCTTGTCGACAGATTTTTTTTAATAGATTTATTCCCTTATTTAAATTACTAAAGCTCAATAGAAAAAC